TTGTGTGTTGTAATCGGCTAGGTGTAGGAGAAACATGCAGCATTTCTCTGGTTGACTCCCACGTCCTCAACGTCTGTGCACCATATCTCCGCTATCCACGCCACTGCCCCGTCCCGATACCCCCGCCACACCACTGATTTCAGTCTGGCCTCTGCGACAGCTCCATCTAGGATCACCCATTGTTATGGATTGTCGGAAGTGTGTCATTCAAGGAATCGTTGCAACGTTGCGTGCCATTTATGCCGCTTTTGTGAGCTTCCAAGATTGTTATTGGTTGGGTGTCTTCCACTCTGTTTTCCTGGAAGTAGAGGTCCAGTGCTTGTGATATCTCCCCTCTCACCTCTGGGTTCTGAAGCAGGGACTCATTCAGTCGCCAGGTCCAACATCAAATATATAATCTAAATAATGTATATAAGTAATATAACTTTAAAAACCATTTTCTTAATTTCGATATTTCAGTTGTTTAGTAGATAACTACCTTATTTGTTATCCTTATGTGGGATTGCCATATTTAAGGATACCAAATTAGGAAGCTATCTACTAAACACATACACATGTATATACATATGCACAAATAACCACAGATATACACACGCACACAATAACATACCTATACACACACATACAATCACAGACCTACACACACATAATCACAGATGTACACACACACATACAGACATACACACATACAATCACAGACCTATACACACAATCACATACATACACATACAATCACAGACCTATACAGACAATCACAAATGTACACACACACACACAATCATAGAACTATACACACAGTCACATACATACGCATAATCACAGATGTATACACACAGACATATACACACAATCACAGACCCACACACACATACAATCATAGGCCTTCACACACAGTCACAGACATACACACAATCACATATATACACAATCAGACACATACACAGACAAATCCCCCCACACAAATCACATGCACACACAGAGACCCACACACACACACACACACACAATCACATACCTATACACACAATCAAATACATACACACACACACAAAATCCCCGACACAATCACAGACCCACCCACAAACACAAAATTACATACCTATACACACAATCAGATATATACACCCACACAATCACAGAGATACACACAATCAATCACAGACCCACACACACACAAAATCACAGACCTATACACAATTACATACATACAGAAACACACAAACAATCATACACACACACACATACTTACACAATCATTACGCACTGAGGAGCTGTCCAGGAGAACACAGTATGTAAAGGCAGTTGGACATCACTGATTTAAAGGAACACTCTGGATCCCTAAAGCACTTTAGCTTGCTGAATTGCTTAGTGCGTGAATTTTGTCCTCTTTTTTATTTTTATTCTGCAAAAAGTGCAGATTTTACTTTTATAAATTAATATTGTTACACTTGCTGACTGTCAATCAGACAGTCGGTTCTGTTACTTCTTGGTTTGGTTAGCTCAGTGGAGTTAAACTCAAGAGACCGCATATGCCTGGAGCACCTTCCTTGCTAAGATTTCTCATTGAGCTGCATTGAGAAGTCTGTGATTGGACAGCCACAGAAAGTCTGTACGGGGTTAGAAGGGAATGGTTTTCAAAAGCTGATAGGAGACACTGAGGTTGGAAGGTATTGACAGGTAACATATACATAGCATACAATGCAATATTACAGGCATCAGGTTATAAAAGAAACTTTGTTACAGTCTTCCAGATCATGCATCCCCTCATAAGAAAAGCAGGGCCCAACTGTCAAAGTATTTTGTTTAAATATAGAAAAAATAAAGGTTTAACAGAAAGGTAGGAAAAGAGGTGAGAAAAGTCCATGCAGTTTGGCCAATAGGGGTGTGTGCGCTTCGTTATGCGGGGAATGTAGGTGGCAGCCGCAGTTCATTCGTACCACGGCTTCCGGTGGCACAGTTTGTTCATTCGCGGTTTCTTTTTGGTTTGGTAGTAGTGTTGTCTGATGAAATATTTAAGATTGTAGGATGAACGTGGCAGTGTGGTGCGGTTAATTCAGCGTTAACTGTATTTGTGTGTAGCTATTAAGTGGTGTGGGACATTTGGAGTCACTTGAAGCCGATGGCTATGGTGAGGCAAAACCCAAGAGTCAGCGAGGGGTGGAGTAGCAATAGAGTGAGCTCCCCTGTCCGCGAGGTGTATGTGCTGGTGGTGTAGAAGTAGGATGCATACTGCAGTCTTACCATACTCTTCATACTCTTATTGTCAAATGGCAAGAAAGGTAATTAAATTAGCAGAAGGGATAGGTTAGTAGAATCTCAGAATCCCACGGCACGGGGGTGTTGTTGCATGTTGTTATGTGTAATTGTTCTCACGACCTACAATCCCATTTCTTCTGTGTATTGATCCCATAGGTCCCACACCTTCTGAAAGGTAGCAGTGGTATTGCGGACCTGTGATGTCAGCTTGTCCATAATATAATTGTCTTTTATTTTGGTCACTACCAATGAGAGGGAGGGTGGCTCAGTGTTCAACCACTGCTGTGCCAGGGCTCATCTGGCTGCGAAGTATACCATGTTGAGTAGTTTCTGTTCATGGCAGGGGAGTCCATCAGTAGGCTTGGATAGTAAGCATCCCCACGGGTCTAAATCTAATGTCCTTTGTAATATTTTAGAACCTAGTTCTACCACTACCTAGTTCTAGTTCTACCTTTCAGAAAAGACTGACTGTGGGGCATGCCCACCACATATGTATGTAGGTTCTTTGTTCACCACAGGATCACCAGCAGTTGTCAGTGGGGCGAAGGTTCATGTGGTTTTGCTTGAGTGGGATGGTGTACCATCGAAACAGTGTTTTGAACGATTGCTCTTGGAGGGTTACACAGATGGAGGACTGTGAGCACGCCTCCCATATGTCTTGCCAATCCATGCCCTCCAGCACCTCGCCCAGGTCGGCCTCCCACAGATCGGTATATCTGAGGTGTGACGAAGGGCCCTTCGCCACTTGGTCCTGGAGAGGCCTGCTTGCCAGCCTCCTCCCCTGTGACTATGACTCTTTGATGTATTTGGCTTTAAAGCCCCTATTCTACCTTCAGACAGACTATTTATGTAGGTTGCTTTATTTCTCTTATGTTTTAGTCACCGTGTACCCATTATAGGTGCAGGGTGTGTGTAATGTAATTGTTTGTAGTGTGTGTGTGTACTGTGAAATGTATTGCCTGCTCTCCTGTACTGCTGAGGTTTGCTACCAACTAGGTGGATTTGGCAATGGAGCTTGTCTAGTGCCCTCTGTTGGTAGCAACAGCAATATGCACTACCTGAATAGCAAGACTGGATCATTTGCATTTTCGGGTAGATTTGCATATTGCTAATTCTGCAGGCACGTGAGATATTTTCTGTTAAATATTGTCTGTTTGTAATTTTATAGAGTTTTCACAGCATTGTTAATGTAATGACCATATGGGTTAGTCCCAAGTAAAATAAAGGTTTAGACAGCTCTGCTTGACCTCAAAACGAAGTGTCGTCTCGTTATTGGGGGATTTGGATTGTATGCTAATTGCCAGTCCCAGTATACCTTGGAGGTACCGCCAGGGCAGGGTGAGTTCCAGGGAGCCGAAGGTGCCGTCCTTCCCCCCCAGTGGCAGTGTGAGTTACAGGGAGCCGAAGGTGTCGACCTTCCTCCCCAGCAGCAGTGTGAGTTCCAGGGAGCCGAAGGTGTCATCCTTCCTCCCCAGCGGCAGTGCGAGTTCCAGGGAGCCGAAGGTGTCGTCCTTCCTCCCCAGCGGCAGTGCAAGTTACAGGGAGCCGAAGGTGTCGTCCTTCCTCCCCAGCGGCAGTGTGTCCTACAGGGAGCAGAGAAAGTTGGTCTCTCTCCCCAGCAGCAGGACAATGTGACGGGAGTGGAGACAGTCGGTCTTCCTCTCCAGCGGCAGCATGTGTTTTAGGGAGAGGAGCACAGCCTTCTCTCTCCCCAGCGGCAGCTTATCCTTCCAAGGGGAGACACCAATTTTCCAGACGGCGCAGATGGGACCGTGGTCTCTGTGCCTGACCCACAGGGATGCTGGACAGCCTGTCCAGATCCCCAGCTACCATCGCAGGAGTATCAGGAGGAGGAGGTAAGCCAATTCTCCCCTCCCCAGCTAACTCCTAACTTGGCCCCAGGGTTAACAGAGGAGATGTTAACCCCCACTGACCCCCACGTTCCCCTGGCTAATGAGCCGGACTGTCCCAAGCACCCCAGCAGAAGAGCTGGCAGCTGGGCAGAGTGCAGTTGGCCTCTGCCCTCCCTTTGTCCCTTGTCCAGAGCATGATGTCCTGCAGGCTATACCAGCGGAAGAGCTGGCATCAGGGCAGAGCGCCGCTGGCCTCTGCCCCTCAAGTCCCCACAGCGTGTTGCCCCATCAACCCAGAGGAATACCCAGGTGCAGTAACTGTTTGCTTTGGGTGGGCTGCTCTATTAACTGCTTGTTGTGGGTGGGCTACTCTGGCACTTGCTTATGGTCGGTGGGTGAATCGACTAACTTAGGCACTGACCGACAGAAAGTCAGGTGCCTGGTTAGTCTTCCCCCCCCGAAGGGGAGATATGTGACGAAGGGCCCTTCGCCACTTGGTCCTGGAGAGGCCTGCTTGCCAGCCTCCTCCCCTGTGACTATGACTCTTTGATGTATTTGGCTTTAAAGCCCCTATTCTACCTTCAGACAGACTATTTATGTAGGTTGCTTTATTTCTCTTATGTTTTAGTCACCGTGTACCCATTATAGGTGCAGGGTGTGTGTAATGTAATTGTTTGTAGTGTGTGTGTGTGTGTACTGTGAAATGTATTGCCTGCTCTCCTGTACTGCTGAGGTTTGCTACCAACTAGGTGGATTTGGCTATGGAGCTTGTCTATTGCCCAATGTTGGTAGCAACAGCAATATGCACTAACTGAATAGCAAGACTGATTCATTTGCATATTCGGGTAGATTTCCATATTGCTAATTCTGCAGACACGTGAGATATTTTCTGTTAAATATTGTCTCCCCCACCCCTTTAAAAATATGCCATTGTGTTATAATAAGTCACTATATGTTGCCTGCTATGATTTGGCTGTTTGTAATTTTATAGAGTTTTCACAGCATTGTTATATAATGACCATATGGGCTAGTCCCAAGTAAAATAAAGGTTTAGACAGTTCTGCTTGACCTCAAAACGAAGTGTTGTCTCGTTATTTGGGGAATTGGATTGTATGCTGATTGCCAGGAGTGTAAGCTGATCGTATGCTTTTCCTGTTCAGCTGCTTACAGCATTCATATGCTTGAGAGCATTTGTATGCTTCTCCAGTTTGGTGGTTTTGGTGTTTGCTGCAGTGCTTGGAGTCCTCAGGAAGCGCTAGGAGCATCCTTCAACTGAGGTACCCAGTCGGGGTGCCAGGTGATCCGTTACATGAGGTTTCCCCACTCGTTAGCCTCTGCACTGGTTGTACAGGAGGGACATGAGGCTTTTTGGCTCCTTTTCTTGGAAGCACATTCGCTCAAAAAATGTACCGTAAGTTCGCAGGCAGCTGCTGGATGCGAAGTCAAGTATTTGTATGTACCTAAAATAGTCCCTGTGTGATAGTGGAGCGAGCTCCCTGAGCCTATTGAACGTGACCGGGGCTTCATCGACATACAAGTGTATATATCTTCAGAGTCCTGTGTGTCAATCTCTCTAAAGTCTCTGGCACATATCCCCGGGGCCCTGTTACAGAGTACGGGTGTCATTGGAGATGGGAGTTTACTGAGCGAGTACTTTTGCGCTACCTGGTCCCATAATCTGAGCGAATTGAGAATCGCTGGGCAAGTGGTGCATATAAAGGCCCTATTCTCTTTGGTTAACCATATAAAAAACTGGGGAAGGTCAGCTCCCATCAGGAGTGATTCGATATCTACCCAGCTCCTGTGATCTGGGGGAGAGTGCCAGTGCACAATTTGGGCTACTTGCGAGGTTAAGTAGTAGAGGTACATGTTCGGTAACCCCAGCCCACCTCTATTTTTGGGTCGGTATAGCAATTTACACACAATTCTGGGGCACTTCCTCTGCCAGATGAATGTGTCTATGGCCTTTTGTAACCCTGCCAAGTCCCCTCTCGTGACCTGCACTAGTAGGACCTGAAAGAGAAACAACAGCCTGGGGAGGATATTCATCTTCACTGAGTGAAATCTGCCCAGCCAGGAGATAGGTTTCTCTGTCCATTTCTCCAGGTTTTGGGTCAGGCAGGTAATTATGGTGGTATAATTGCGTGTGGTCAGCTGTAAGTTTAATGCCTAGGTAGGTGAGGGTTCTGTCAGCGAGGCGGAACTTATATGTGTCTCTGATCTGTGCCATCTCCGGGGCTGAAATGTGGAAGGGATTTAGCCAGGTTGACTTTATGCCCAGACAGGTCTCCGTAGTGATCCAGTAGTTAAATCAGGTACTCCATGGAGCTGAGTGGGTCAGTGAGTGTAAGAAGGTCGTCATCAGCATATGCTGATGTTTTGAACTGTCGCCCAGCTACACCCACCCCTGTATGTGTGGATGCTGTCGGATGGCCTGCAGTAGTGGCTCCAGGGAGAGTGTGAAGAGCAGTGGTTATTTAAGTGGAAGTCTAAGGGGGTGCGACGGGCCCTAGTTATCAATGTTTGGGCTCTGAGGTTTGTGTATAGGGCCCGGATCGCCACCACATAGGGTTCCGGAATGCCCCACACCCGGAGTAAGCCAAAGAGGTACGGCCACTTCACCTAGTCGAAGGCCTTCTTGGCGTCCAAGGACAGTGCCAGAGAAGGCCCTCCCTAGCTTGACATGCACCATGTCAGTACAGCTCCCTTTTGAGTATTTTCGTGTCACGACAGTGACCCCTTCACGCAGAGAGTAACCCAGAAAGAGACGTATACCGGACCTTAGAGTGGCTGGGCTCAACGTCAGAGAATAGTCAAAAGAATAGCCAAAGGTCAAGGGAGCACAGAAAACGGAATACACGAGAATAACCAAGCCAAAATTCGGGGAGCCAGAGAGGAGAGTAGTCAGTAAGGAAGCTAAGGGTCAATATACCAGAAAAACTGACAAATATACCAAGAGCACTAGAGGGACCAAATAATGAACCACACTAGGGCGCTGGGGGAAGGACAGGGGCGCCCTTATATAGTGAGGAGTGTTTTGCTTTAAAGCCACGCTCCCAAAAGGTCCGGGAGCATGGCCACTTTTGAATTTTTGCGGCAAAATCCCGATGACGGTGCGCATGCGCCGGGTCATAAGAAGGGTTTTGCCGCGAGCGGCTAGCGTCCGACAGGCTGCGCCGCCTCCCGGAAGCAGCCAGGGAGACCGCCGCGCTGCGCGGGTCCGGAGGAGAAAGGTAAGGTATCGTCACATTTCGTAGAGCTGTCTACTTGGCACAAACACCACCTGGTCAGTGTGGACCAAGCGTGTCAACAGCGGATTTAGTCTGGTAGCCAAAATTTTGGCATAGTTCTTTAGATCTGAATTAATCAGGGAAATAGGCCTGTAGTTAAATGCTAGCTCCTCATCTCTACCTGGTTTTGGTAATAATGTGATGTTTGCTAGCGCCATGTCCGAGTCTGGTGCACCTCCATCCAGAAAATGGTTGAAAAGTGTAGTGAGTTGGGGAGTCAGTACTTCCCTGAATTTCTTATAATACCCCATGTCGTATCCATCCAGTTCTGGGACTTTATTACCTTTTAGGGTGGTGATAGCTGCATCAACTTCTAGTGGTGAAATGGGTGCACCCAAGGTCCCCACCTCTGGTCCCGTGAGTGTTGGCAAATCTAGGTCCGATAGGAATGAATGTAGGTCGACACAACCATCAGGGGCAGACCCTTCTGTCTGTGGGCAATGGTTGTATAATGTCGAATAATAGTCTGTAAAGACTTTGTTAATGGCGTCTGGAGTGTCTGCTAGGACCCCTGCCGATGTGCGGATTTTAATGATGAACGCCGAGGACGCAGCGCTCTGGCTAACGTATCCATTTTGTTGTATTTTTCATAATACAAGACCACAGAATGGAACGATCCACCCCCTCCAGGGAAAGTTCCCTAAGAGAGTGTTGCAGCGCGTTCACCTTCGTCAGTTTGCTTGCTGAGGGGTTTGCTTTGTGTTGCTGTTCAGCTTTTCTCAGAGCTGTTCGCAGCTCCAATAGGAGGTGAGTTGTGCGTCGCTTTTTTTGTGTAGCTATCTTGATGAAGTGGCCCCTCCGTACTGACTTATGGGCAGCCCAAATGGCTACTGGGTCTATATCTGTAGAGATGTTGTGAGTAAAGTATTCTGATATGAGTGTGCTGGTGGCCTTACATAAGTCCTCGTATCTGAGAAGGCTAGTGTTTAGTTTCCACGTCCAGTTTAGAGGAGTACTTGAGCCTGCCAAGTTTAGCTCCGGAGCCGGTACCGGACATGATGGGGTGACTCGGTGGTAGTTTAGGTCACGTTGCTGCTGGTATGTGCTTATTATAGTGCGGGTGGACAGGAGCACTCCGTTTATGCGGCCATTAGGGTTGACTGCCAAACACGCCCCTACAAGATTTTTTTTTTAAATATTCAATGAAAAAATTCATAATTCGTTCAATGTATGTATATCTAATAAACAGTGACGTTTATATTTTGGGCAGTAAAGTGTCCCTTTAAATAGAATAGTTAATGTTTTGCATCACCTGCATATCTCAAGTTGGTCTTTGATAAGTTCTCCTTTGTCACAGAAACTTGAGAAATCATGTTTCTACAACTGTGCCAGAGTTCCTGGTTTGATATGCAAATGAGCAAAGACACCCATTCTGTTTAAGATTTTATGCTGCATTTCTCCATAAACCCCTAACAATGGATTACAGCTTTTTAAAATAGGTAAAATAGAGGGGGCGTGGACTGGCCGTTGACCTGAATGGCCGCATTATTTGAGAGCTCCTGAGAATCCGCACAGAATCCAGCACTTATCATATGCATCAAAACCCTAAAAGCATTCAAATCCACCAAAGAATGTCAGGAACGAAGTAGCCGCGCAAGAAGCGTAATCACCAGCAGGAATCATATACCAGCGTGTTGGAGCTTATGGCGGTTTCCCGCCCATTGCAGGCCTCACAAGATGGCCGCCAGGATAGCCCATGCGGCTCTCTCTCCCCAGCCCGACTTCCACACAGGGGAGGCAACCCAAATCCTCCAAAAGCTCACAGAGGTAAATACCTACCTCACAAGCGAGAACTCCCGCAACTCAAGAGAAGTGAAGGCGGAGATTCAGGCCTTCGGGGTCCTGCACAACCCAACTGGAGCATATGGTAGAATCAGTGGTGCAGGCTCAAAATATGGCAACATCTCATGCAGATCTCATGGCCCAGCAGATAGACCAGCCAAGATGCAGGACGAGAATCTATCGAACCGCTCCAGGTGGAACAATTTGCGCGTCCAGGGCCTTCCCGAGTCGCCTAATGAGGGGCCGTTAGCCCAAAAGATGGAGGAATATTTTAAACACTTGCTGCCTGACATTCCTGATAACAAATGGCCGATTGACAGGGCCCACAGAAAACTAAGGGCCAGGAGACAGGAGGGTGCGACATAATCATCCATTTCCACTACTACTCCACAAAAGAAGCCATACTTAAATACAGTAGAGACAATGTTCTGCAATACAAAGATGCAGAATTGGCTCTCTATCAAGACCTCTCTCCGATGACCCTGCAATGTCGAAACATTTGGAAACCACTGGCAGACCTCTTGCGCAAACATGAGATCAGATATACCTAGGGACACTCCTTCAAACTCGTGGCCTTTCGGGTGGGCAAAACTCACACCTTACTGCCAGGAACCGACAAGCACCATTTTTGTAAAACCTGGGCATTGAAGTTCCTCCAGACCTTCCCGCCTCAAGACCAACGCGCCCGGCATTGATGCCCCGCGCAGGAGAATGGCAGGTGGCTGGGGTCAGCGAGAGCCGAAACACCTGAACACGCAGTCGCAACTCCCATCATCTCCACCTATATAGGTTGCGTGGTATTCCGTGATTCCACCATGACAGGCCTCAGCTAAGTGGCTTTACATTTGGGGGGAGCTGTGAATGTAGGGGAGTGTGCGGGAGTAATGGGGCCCTAAAGAGATCAGGAGTTTATTACAGGACCGCAGGCAGAGGAATGTTGTTTTATTCGTTAATATTGCCTGCTAAATACACTGCCTGTATTTCTAATGTGTGTATACAACTGTCATAACGATATATGATGGCGGAAGCCGGTCAAGAGGGGGGGGGGAG